GTTTTTCAGCCATTTGTATATATTCTTTGGAGAAATGCTTTGCCGATTTTTTTAATGAGCTGTCTTTTTACTGTTGAGTTGTAAGAATTCTTTACGTATTCTAAGATCAAGTCCCTTCACATATATATGATTTACAAATATATTTCTCCCACTCTGTAGGTTGTCTTTTTACTTTCTTGGGCGTCCTTTGAAACACAAATTTTTATAATTTTCAAGAAATCCAATTTATCTCATTTTTTTTGGTTGCTTTTTCTTTGGTATCCTATCTAAGAAATCATTGCTTAATCCAAGGTCACAGAAATTTATACTTATGTTTCTTTCTAATAGTTTAATAATTTTAGCTCTTACGCTTAGATCTTTGTTCCATTTTGAGTTTTTTATAAATGGTATAAGGTATGGATCCATCCTTATCCTTTTTGCACGTGGATTAATATTCATCTGTCCCGGCACTGTTTATTGAAGAAACCATCCTTTCTTCTTGAATGGTCTTATACTCATGAACAGAACATAAATATATGGGTTTATTTCTGGACTCTCAAACCTATTTTGATCTATATGAGTATCCTCATGCCAGTACCACACTGTTTTGAATATTGTAACTTTGTAGTAAGTCACGAAATTAGAAAGTGTAAGTTCTCTAACTTGGTTCTTTTTAAGATTGCTTTGGCCATTCTGTGTCCCTCTCAGCTTGTCCATCTCAGCAAAAACAAAAACAAACAAAAAAAACCACCTGGGATTTTGACAGGGATTATATTGAATCCATAGATCAATTGGGGAGGCATTAACACCTTGATAATATTGTCTTCCAATCCATAAACATGGGCTGTCTTTCCATTTACTTAACTCTTTAATTCCTTTTAATGCGGTTTTGCGATTTTCACCACACAAGTCTTATACTTCTTTTATTACATTTATATACAAGTAATTCTTTCTTTTGGAATTTTGTAGATTGAGACACATCCTGCATCCTTGCTAATCTTGCTTTTCTAATAGTTTTTAGGATCTTTAGGATTTTCTATATACAGGATCATGTCATCTACAAAGAGAATTTTGCTTCATCCTTTCCAATCCAGATGCCTTTTATTTCTTTTTCTTACCTAATTGCTCTGATGAGGAACCTGCAGTATAATGTTAGAATCGATGTGCATTCTAACACTGATATGACCACAAACTCTTTGAACCTTGATTTTCCTTTCTGTACAGTGGGAAGAATAGCATCTATTTCCAAGGGGGAGTATTGAGAAGAATGATACAACACAGCCAGCTCTAGGCTTGGCACTTAATGATTGTTCCACATGTGTGTTCCTTTTCCTTCAATTATCTTCTCTGCTATGGAATTTTGAGCTCCCAATTATGGGATCACTTACCGTGTTCTCAAATCAACTCTCTTGCTAGACAATCTTCAAGCTCAGCCCCCACCCCACCCCAAGGACTGGTAGTATGTATGTATTTAATTTCAGTATAGTTGACACACAATGTTATATTAGTTTCAGGTGTACAGCATATCAATTCCACGACTCTATAAATTATGCTGTGCTCACCATAAATGTAGCTACCATCTGTCACCATGCAATGCCATTACAACATTATTGATTCTATTCCCTATGTGTACCTTTTATCCTTGTGACTTATTCATTCCATAATTGGAAACCTGTATCTCCCATTGCCTTTTGCCCATTTTGGCTACCCCTGCCCCACACACATTCCTTTCTGGCAACTGAAGTATTCTTCTCTGTATGTATAGTTCTGATCCTGAGTTTTGTTTGTTTATTCATTTGTTGTGTGTTTTAGATTCCACACAGAGAAATGAAATCATATGGTATGTTCAACAGTCTCTGTCTGACTTACTACACGTAGCATAATACCCTCTAGGTCCATCTGTGTTATTGCAAATGGCAAGATCTCATCCTTTATTATGGCTGAGTATACATTTTTTTAAATTAATTCGTCTATCCGTGGACACGTGGGCTACTTCCATATCTTGGTTATTAGAAATAATACTGCAATAAGCATAGAAATGCATACAGCTTTTCAAACTAGTGTTTCCGTGTTCTTTGGGTAAATACCTACTAGTGGAATTATTGAATCATATGGTATTTTTATTATTAAAATTTTGAGGAACCTCCATATTGTTTTCCATTTGAAATGCAGATTCCTGGGATCTGCCTCAAAACATTGTTATCCCATGTGTGTGTCTGGGTGTGGTCCAGTGCCATCAAGTACCTCCAGCTGTGCTGAATGACACAGTCAAGGGCCACACTTAGGAAAATCTATGATCTGAGAAAAAGCTTGCTTTAGAAACCCTAGAGCTGCATTTTCTTCAAATTCAGACCTATTCAGCAAACCTAGTTTTCCAGTCCCCCGTGGAACCTCAGGCTGAGCTGACCCAGAAACCTGATGCAAGTCCATCACCCACGCTACTTGCTTCTGTTCTTCTTGATGACATGAAAGTATCATTTTTGCTTGTTCCGCACCCATTTCCCCTTTCTCTGCTAACCCTCTGGATTGCCTCCCTTCCAGTTACAATGGTTCCAGCAAGGCGGTTGCCTGCCCACCCCCCCGTGACATCTTTAGGTTTCTGGAGTTCTTGGTAATATGAGTTACTAATTCTCTTTTGAGCTTGAGTTGGAATTTCTCCTTACAGCTGGGGGTTTCTAAGACAAGAACCAACCCCTCAAATGGAGGCCTTTACATCGCCCTGTCTCTCCTCTGCTTACTGCTACTTCTCTGCCCAAACAAACCTTCACTGGGCTGTCCCAAACAATTCCCCTGCATCTCACTTGCCTCCGAGGATGTCACCTCCTTGCCACGACGGGACACAAGTTTCCCATGTCCTTCCAGGCAGGAGACTTGCTCTTTAGGGCCAGGTCTAGCTCATTTTTTCCCCCACGCTTTGGGACAAAAATTCTTCTCCTTTGAGAGGCATATTATAGAGCTCGCCGTTCATTACTGATTCCTGATCACTTAATTCACTTAGGACTCTGACACCTGTTTTAGAGTCTCGCTTCCACCTCTGCCATCATTCCAGAGGGATTTCACCATTCCACTTAGTGGCCTGTAATCACAGCTCATATAGCATTTACTGTGTACCAGGCATACTTCTAAGCAGCTTATATATATATTTTAGCTCACTCAGCCCTTATAACAGCATGAAGTGTTATTATCCCCATTTTATAGATGAGGAAACTGAGGCATAGAAAAGCTATTTAGGCTCCTCTAGAGTTATCTGGCTCCTAAGTGGCAGAGTGGGAATGTGAACAAGAAGTCTAATTGCAGAGTCTGGGCTCTTAACATACATGCTGGCCTCCAAGTTCCCTGTTCTCTAAAATTGTAGCAACCCCCGTATCCATTCTATATTGGTCCTGTGAAGGGAAGGGCAGTCAGTACCTCCACCAACTGAGTCACTGTGTATCTGGAAGGTCCTTGGAGAAGAGATGTCAGCTGAGGGTGGTTTGGATGGTCATAGAAGATCTGTACCTCCTCTCTCTACAACATATGATTTACTGTCACCTCCCATGGAAATGTACCAACTAATAGAAAGGCCCCAAAACAGGAATTTAACTTGGGCTGAAGACACAGCAACAGAAAAGCAGTTATATAGTGTGTCCTGGTCCCCCATAAAACCTCTTTTCTGCCCCCAAAGTCCTTATTCTCTGTGGAAAAGTTTCTGCAATCAGGCCACTCCTCAAACGTGTATCTTGTCTTATAGACTTACTCATGGTCATGGGCTCCTCAACCCTGCAGAAGCTTTGCACAATGGATTCAAAACCTCTGCTTTTCTTCCTTCCTCTGTTTGCAAGAGCAGGGAGAAGGAAGGCAGGGGACCGTTTCACCATCCCGGGCAATCACACCTACGTGTAGCTCCATCCAGAGCTGTCCCACCCGGAAAATTCCTGCGCAGACCCCCACCGGACATCATCCCACCTCCAGGCTTCACAATGCCTACCAACACACCGTTCACAAACTCCACTGCTACCAGACCCAGCCTGCAAATGTGTCCCTGGATCAGCACAAACGGTTCCAGGTTCTACCACGGGGAGAAAAAAACTCACACAAATGTATTAAGATCGCCAAGATCAGCATGCCCCCCTCCATCACACCAAGCAAGCCTAATTAGTACTCAAAACGGCTTTAATTATAACTATTATATTGAGTGCTTACTACGTGCCAAGCAGTGCCCTAATCACTTTCCAAGCACTTTATTTATTTCTCAAAACACCACCACTCTGAGTTAGAGACTATTCATGGTTCCCATTTTACAAAGTAACACTGGGGCTCCGGTTAGTCGGGCCAGCGCGTGGTCACACCTGCATCTCTAAGCCGCCAAGTACACCGCCCGCAGCTGTGTCCCTCTAGCCGCCAAGTCCGCCGCCTGCAGCTGTCGGCTCGTCAAGAGCCCAGCCCATTCCCAGCAGTCCCTACCACCCCAAACTGCAGTGTCACGCTGGAGTAGCGCTTTCACGGGTGAAAGTAAAAGAACGGGAGGAAAGGAAGAGAAGAGAACCATCGCGATACGCTCCAGAAAGGAGGGCGCAGAGATACTTCCTGGCCAGCGTTACTCAGCACTTTGTGGGGCTTGCGGGGATGGGGGAGCGGGAGCATAGCCGGCCTTTTCGAGGAATCCAGCTCTGCCTAAGCCGCCCCCTCGCAAGCGCAGGGTCGTTCGGTTAAGGCTGGCTGACCCCTTCCCAGGTGGCTCTGGGGATGGCCGTCCGCGTCCCCGCCTCCTCCCACGGCGCACAGTGTACGCGTACCGTAAGCCGCTTGGCGGCCCCCGCAGATCCCCACTCCCAGCTGGGGTGCGGCCGGGCGGGTGGGGCCACATGCTCGGGGCACAGGGCGCTCCCTGGAGCCCCGCCCAGCGCCCGCGGCGACCCCGCCCCCGGGGCGGCCCCGCCCCCAGCGGGCGTCTCGGCGGTTCCGGGAGGCGGGGCCTGGCCTGGGCGCCTAGGCGGGCGCGGGAGGCCGGAGCGGGCGCGCCCCCGCAACACGCACGCCGCGCGCGCCCGCCCGCCCGGCCGCCCCGCCCCCAGTTGCTTGCTATAAAGGGAAGGCGGGCTGAGTGCTCTGTGAGCTCTGTCCGACGTTAAGGATCCACTTTCATCGGTCCGTACGCTCCCTTCTCAGACCCCAGCCGCCAAAATGGTGAAGCAGATCGAGAACAAGGTACGCACTAATTGGGGAAGGCTAGGACGCGACGCGCAGCCTCCGTAGCCAAGGAGGGCGAGGGCGGGAGGTGGGCAGGCGCCCCTCCGCAGCCCGGGGGAAGGGGACGCGACGGCCGGCCTGGGACTGCGGGAAGCCCGGGCCTGGGCGCGCCCGAGGCGGCCGAGCATGTCCCGGAGGAAGGGAAGAGAGGGGCGAGGGCGCTCCCCGCTGCGTGTGTCCAGTGCGCCAGGCGTTCCCCCACGGCGCCTCCTGCACCCCCGTGCTCGGAAAGCCCCTGTTGGCTGAGGGTGTGAAGTCTGCCCTTGGCCCGGGTCCGTCTCTGGATACGGGCCGGGGAGGAGATGGAGGGCGCCTTGAAAGAGGCGCGGGGTTGCCGGCCGCCACTCCCCTCCCCGGTGGGCGGCGTGATCACCCACGTTGGGCGGCGTGAGCTCCCCTGGGAGCGTATCCGGGCGGAAGACCCCGGACGCCTCCCTCGCTGCCCGGCGCCGGATTTGGCGAGTGCTGTCTCCACGCCACGGGGCGGCTCCGGGCTGAGCACCCCCTGGCTTGTACGAGTGTGGTCTGTAGGCCCGAAGGGCCCAGGTGGCCGCAAGGAAGTGAGGCCGGGGCCGCGCCCTCGGGACTCCTCCTCTTGCGGCGCTGGGCGTGTTTCCGGCAGCTCTGGCTTTGGAATGACTCAGTCCCCAAGACTGGGCCCAGGGGCCTCCTCTGCCCTCCCCATCCGTGATTCACCCACGGTCGGGGGGTTTCGCAGCAGCCAGGAGTGCCCCCGAGGCGGGCGCGCCGGGTGGTGGTTCTGCCCTATTAGGAATGTCCAAGACAGCGTTCCGTCACCGAGAGTTCATTGCGAGCCCAAGGGAAACTGAGCCTGACCTAGCGTCTGCTTGGTGTACCCTAGCCACTCAAGAAGGGTTTGTTAAATGCAGTCAGAAAAGTGAGTGGGGGAACATTGATGTTGCTCCAGCAGTGGAAAACCCCTCGAAAGCGTTTACCCTACGGTACCTCCCATCCCAAGCCCTCGCACGCCTCAATGTGTGGACCTGAGAGATGCTGGCGCGGCTTCGAAAATGGAAGTTTTACTTTAATGGTCCCTTTTTGTTAACTTTTATAAACAGGAAACGTATATGATCATTGTAGAAAATTTGGCAAGAGAGAGCGCTTCTGTTTCCTAGAAACAACGGCAAAGTAGTGGAGATTATTTTATGTATTCGGTTTTCTGAGCCGCTTCCCACCCCCCGCCCCAGTTTAGCCTGAGCCCTTTTCAGGTAGTTAGAAGCTTTTGTAATCATTTGTGTATCGGAACACATTGCTGGACATTTAGGCAGTTTTCAGCGCCTCGGTGAATATTTATGTTGTTAACCCTTTGTAACAGTTCAGGCTGTTTCCTCAGGTTAGGGTCTCCAGTGCAATGGTTGGGTCAAGGGATGTGAACCTTTTATTTAAGGTTTGTAAATGCCCAAACAACATAGGACTGTGCTCTTTCACCTCACCCCCATCAACAGTGAGATTTTCCCCCTAACTTTGACCGAATCATTAATTAGTAAGAAACATGGTCTTCTTTGATTTAGTGACGCTGAACTTTTCCCCTTATATATGTTGATTGACTAATTACAGTTTGTCATCTGCTTGTCCTTAATTTTTTCCTAATGGCATCCCTCGTTTTATTGTATGAGCTTTTAGATTAAAATTAGCAACCCTCTCATTTGTTGGAAAGGTCATTGAGATTTGTTCCCCCTACTTTTATTTAGAACCTACTGAGTGACAAATATCAGTCCGCATGGGGGTGTTCTCCAGGGTCTGGTCATGTCATCAGTATAATCTAAGAGGTGAGAACCCACTAAAAGAGTAGGACTTTGAGTGGCTTATAGTAGTCTCAATACATACACTGCAATCAAATCGATTGATTCCTGGAACACATTTTTCAGTCTTTCCCAGTTTTAGCTGTCATAGTTATGATACCCTCTCCCCCTCATCAATGGCACGCGTGTACAAGGGTGTCCGGAGATTGGTTACACAAAAAAGGACGATAGCCTGAGGCCTAAAGACCCTGATAATCAGTCGATCTTCAAAATTATGACCCAGAGACATCAATCAAAAATTAAGCTAATTTGAATGTTACCTGTGAATATTGAATACACCTTAGATTTTCATCCTGATGTACCAGACAGAGTTGGTGCCATTGGTTATTCAAGACTGTTCTTTCTAAAGTGTAATAGTTTAGAGCCACTAGGATCTATTTTAGATACAAGTGGGATAATGGACTGTAGAGGTGTGATGAGAAAGAAATGGACCCAGTTGTGTGTTGTTTTTTAAGAATAGCATCTGCCATTTATTGAACTCCTACCTTCTATACATACATAAGCATTCATGCTTGTTTAATTGCCTTCGGAAGGGGTATGTTTAGGAAAAGAAATCCTAGACTCTGCTCTTATCTACCCCAAATGTTTTCAGTTTATGTTGGTGACGGGGACCTTTATTAATCATCATTGTTATTTTCTGGAAGTTAGACATTGTGGTTTGCTTTTTAGTGAGATAATCTTGAATCATTTTCCAATTGGGGTCTCTTTTAGACAAACTTAAGTATAGAGGAAGGAATTTGTTTTGAAGTCTACGCATGCCTGGCTCTGTCACTCTTCAGTTAAGCCAAAAGTCACTGTTGCCTGCCTCTTTTCAGAATTTTAGGTAGTTTTGCTAGAATTTGATGCAGAATTGTTTGGGAAACCTTTGAGAGCGTTTGAATAATATTTTGTGTTGAAAGTAATCTTGCCAAGTATTTACTGGGAGCCAACCATGTTCACAAAACAGTGCATTCATCTGGTTGGACGTTATCATTCCGTAACTTTTTTCCTTTCTAACCTGGTTCTTGCAATAGAACAGTTAGTTTGACCTTTAAAAAAATCATGTTATAGAAGCTTTGAATTCAGTTCATCTGGAAACATGGTGATGGTTTGGAAAAATGATTTCTGTAATTCTAACTTGTCCTCGCTCCCCACCCCCTCACACACACATGAATATCTCCCCACCCCCTAAAAGTGTGGTGGGAGTTTGTACCTGAAAAACTGAAAAGGTTACAGAAGTCATGACATGGGAATGCCACTTGTGAATTACCCCCCCCAAAAAACAGGAGGTGGAAATTAGAAATCTAGAGAAGTAACTGTACTGCAGAGGAATTCACTTTAGATTTTTTGTTTTTTAGTGGTGTTTACTTTAGTGGCTCAGATCTGATAGGATTCTTAGCTTTCAAGGGAGGGGAATGTTTCTCGTTAAACCAATGGGAGCAGCATTTTTCCCCTGAAGAAAACCTAGACTTCAGATACAGATATTTATGTTTTGATTTCTCTTTGTTGCCCCAGTTTTGGTAAGCGTTGACTAAATTGTGGTTAAAAAGGAGCCCCTTGTTAATGCAAAGGTTAGGTTCCTAGGGTTACAGTATCAAAACCGTCAGTAAATTATTCAGGGAGATTGGTGGTAAGGAATTTCTTGATCATGTCTCACTGGTGGAATTTTATTTGACATTTCTAATGCAGAATAACATTTAAGGAAAATTCTTGCATGAGGAACTAAAACTTTTTTATTTGGTCACCAGTAAGAGCAGAGTTTTGAGATAAAGGGCAGACATCAACAATAAACAATATGATCTCATCTCTGGAAAGTCGGCTAAGGGGTGTATAAGGAAACATGCTTAATGTCAACAGTGACTAAGTGTAAGGGTTTGGAAGAGGTTTATTTTCCTTGATATTTTTTTCCTTGATTTTTTTAAGAAGCTTTTGACATATTCCACTATAGACCATTTTAATCAGTAAAGTAAGTTTTTATTTTTTTTGAGAGAGAGCGCACAAGTGGGGAAGGGGCAGGGACAGAGAATTCCAAGCAGGCTCTTCGCTGAAAGCACAGAGCCTAACACGGGGCAGGAACTCATGAACTGTGAGATCATGACCTGAGCTGAGATCCAAGAGTCAGATGCTTAACTGACTGAAGCACCCAGGTGCCCCGATAAAGTATTAGCTTTTAATATTGCAAAATTCTGTGCCTTTGTGACTTATTCAATTGAAATGACCCTCTTTATCAATTGATAAGCATTTAGTGAATGCTTGCTTCCCATTTACCTAGATTTGATGTGGAAACCTAATATAAGTGTTTTAATGTGCTCAGTTGAATATAGATACAACGATATACTTCATACTTGTTTCATCTTATCAACTCTAGAATTTTTTTTTCCAGTTCATTCAGTTCATTTTAGCTTATTAAATTTTTAAAAACAGTACCTTTAAATTGTTCTTTGTACCACGTTCTATCAAGTTTGATCGGGACTTTGGGAAATAAAGGAAGCTGTTTAACCTATGCGGGTTTTTTTCTTCTTAGTATGCTTTTCAGGAAGCCTTGAACAGTGCAGGGGAAAAACTTGTAGTAGTCGACTTCTCTGCCACGTGGTGTGGACCTTGCAAGATGATCAAGCCCTTCTTTCATGTGAGTATGAAATCAGTTCTGCTTTAGAAGAAATTCTGTTTGAGGTGGGTGTCCCTGAAGGTAGAAAAGGACAGGCTGTTGTCGTCGTTGGATGTTTGGTGTAGAAGCAATAGTGTAACAACTTCAGTAATTGCTTTTGACACATGTGTAGCCCAGTGAAGACAACTGTCAGAGCTGTCTTAAATGGTTTTGCTTTTCTTCCACTTGAAACGCAGGCCCAGTTTGAAATTCAGGCCTCAGGGGTTGATGTGTCAAATTCTTTTCTACTAGGAGGAATTTGACTGAGAGAAACTGTATGTCCTTGGTGCTTCCCTGGTCAGAGTTTTAAGATCTTTACTGAGTAGTTTCTACTTTTATCAGTGTTTCTATTTAAGAAGCTTGAGTATAGTGACTGCCATTACCCAGTTCTGACTCTTTCTGGATTTTTTATTTTAAATTTTCCAGTCCCTCTCTGAGAAGTATTCCAACGTGGTGTTCCTTGAAGTAGACGTGGATGACTGTCAGGTACGTGACTGGAAATTGGGACTACTATTGAGCTTTTCACCTTGGCCTTTTTCTTGGAACTGCAAGGGATTGTTTTCATGTGTCAAATAATACCAAAACCACAGCCCTAGCCAAAAAAAAAGTCATCGTGCCAATTACGAGCTTAATCCTAGCTCTCTGGCGCTGTGTACATCATCATAAAATAAGCCTAAAAACAGATGGTTGAGGCTTCTGTACCTTACCAGTCACCTCTTTAAAAGTTTATACATTCGATATAACACTCCCAGATGCTCAGTAAATTGAAATTAAATTTGATTATAACTAAATCCGTAGACTTGAGCACTGAGAGAACACTTTAAGATTCTTTATGAACTAGTGACATGAGAGAGTGTAGTCACCATCATCTTGCTTGATTTTAATCAGCTAGAAAACCCAGATGTTTTAAAGAACCAACTTGATAGCAGAGTGTAATTTAGGGGAAATTTTGAAGGTTCATTTAAGTTTACAAATACTTGTTGAGCCCTCTGTGTGCCCAGTGCTGTTGCAGGTGATGCCTTACTGCTCCCCATCCCCGTCTTACAGACGATCAACACAGAGACGTGATCTGTGGAGTTCCACTTAGTGGCAGTCAGGATTTAAGATGAACTGACCTTCCAGGCCTTGCTTTTAACCAGCGCACTCCAGAGGAGGCCCAGGTGTAGGGTGGGCGCAGATCTAGTTCCTGGCACAAGACTCGCCTTTTATACAGCCCACTGGACTGGGAGTGTGCCTGTTCATGGTCAGGAACAGCACCTGGGAGCTCTTCACAGATATGTGGACGTTTTTCCCTCCGCCCCACTGGGGCAGGAGGGTGTAGGGAGAGATGTGGCAAGAAGGGTGCTCACGTGGGTTCCAGGCTTTCTGCTGCAGGCCAGCCTCTCTTCTCCCTTGAGCTGTGGTTCTTCTCTATGACCAGATCTCACAGCTACCCCATCAGCCTCCAATTTTCATTGACCGTACCTGGAAGGTTTAATAAAGGTACTGAAAGGTTTATAAAAGCAAGTACGGGGCAGTACTTTCCAAACCTGTAAGCACCTCTCATCACCAAATTCCTTTTCTAAGCACACTTTCTGATTCCACACTCCCACCTTTACTGGTGGGAGTATCTAGCTACCTGGCACATCCTTTCCTTTCCTACCTAACAAACTCCTAGTCATAAGCACCACCTCTTCTCCAAGAACCTTTCTCCACTTACCCCCTTTCATGCCGGGCCTAAGTTAGTTCCCTTTCCTCCCTGTCTCCACGATGTCCTTTGCCCTTCTCTTCCCCTTGAATTTATGGTAGTGGCATGCGGAGGATCCCATACCCAGACGGCCTGCTTTATTTTCCAGCTTTTGGCCCTCTGTAAAATGGCAGCGCTTATCCAGCATTATAAAGTAATTGTCAGGATTACGCGACATAATTCCTGGAACAGCTCCTGACACACGCCCAGTGAATCTTAGCTCGTAGTGTATTCTTTTTGTCTGTCCTTTACCATTAGTGCCTAGAAGTTTCTTGGGACAAGAGACCCTGTCTTACTTACTTGGCTATGGTAAGCTTAGTAGGTGTAAAATGAACTTACTAAATGACAAAGTTATTCTGATGTGTTGCAGAGTTTTAAGAACATGAATAGAGAGCATGTATTTGTGGGAAAAACCCTCTAGCTCCCGATCTAAACCTAATCTACAGACTTACATTTTTTAATATGGTCAATGTAGGCATGTGAAAATGGCACGTGGAAGGGACTAGAGAAATTTCTGACTGGTACTGTGACTCTCTCAATAGCGAGTGAATCTCCCGAGTTTTTATGTGAGAGTGATCCCATGCTAGGTGCCCGGCCTGCGTTAGGTCACATGAGCCTCCTGATCGCTCTGATGACCGTTTCTGTTGGTGCCAGCACAGGACAGGGTATGGGGTGCGGCACAAGAGGAGGGGTAGGGCAGTTGATCAGAGCCTGCAAGGGTCGACTCTTGCACCTTGCTGGACTGAGGACCGGTGCTCTCCCCGCCTGAATCCAAAACCTTGGGGAAGGAGATGTGCCACTCAGTCAAGGACTTTGTGCGACTCTGGTGAGCATAGGCACCCTGGACGTTTCTTGACCTTAGAGTGACCCTTTGCATCCACATTCTAAAGATGGAGCAACCTACAGTGTCTTCCTTTGAATACTTCTGTGGCCCTGTTACCTTTACCATCTAACTGTAACCAGCCTTATCGAGCTGTAAGAACCCTTTGGTCACATACATATAACAGTTGCCATCCACTCTACTCACCTTGCCATTCTGAATTACCTTCCTTGCCAGTTCTGTCAAAAAGCAGTTCATTAAACAAAAGCCAGTTTTTCTTCAGGGAATTTCTGAGTCACAGGAGTGGATCTTCCAGATGCTTTGCTGCTCTAGGTAAAAACATCCCCTCGTTTTGATTGTAAAATCGAGACAAGGGGTAAAAATCACGTCAGTCACACTTCTCAGTATTAGATTCTGTCATTAGTGGGTGGGATTTTTAATGACTGAACTAGTTTAAATTTGGGGGCAGAGAATTCCTGCTGCTGAATTTCAGACGTAGCAAACTTTGTAGTATTTATGGCGTAAGCAACATACAGTTTTAATAGACGACTGTAACCACTTGGGCAGGAAGAAGTTATCGTTTCGGGGTGACAGATTCAGAGACAATCAGGAGGCATGGACACGCAATATACACACAGAGAAAATCACTTTGTAGTCATACAAAGGGAGGAGTCCTAGTCCTTTTGAAAATGGTAGACGCTACTGCCCGCTCTGTACAGGGTTTTAAGTTAAAACAAGAAACAAAGTAATTTAGACCTGATAGTTGTTATGTTTCCATTTTATTAGAACAGCCAGGAATGACGTATAGAAATGACAAAGGCAGGTTTGAAGTTACTTTGGCTGTATGGAATGCTAAGCTAAAAACCAGTGAAACTAAGTTTAATAAGACAAAAGGTCGTCTTATTGTACTTACTGATAAAAATGAGTACAAATCTGAGACTGGGCAAAACCAGAGGGATGGGGAACAGTTTGGGGTAGGGGGAGGGCTTGGGTATCAAGGAGCTGCTGAGGGAATTTTAGGTGAGCAAGGGAGTAGGGCTGTGTCTTGGTGTTACCTGACTAGGCATTTGTCAGAACTCCCAGAACTTAAACACCCTGCAAGAACTGAATTTTATGTAATTTTTTTTTAATTTCAGATTATTTACAAAAAAAAAAAAAAAAACAGGAGTAAGGGGTGTTGGGGGGGACTAGTTAAGTGAGGAAAGTGATAAACTTAGGATCAAGAATGTTTAAGGCTTTAAAGATAACTAAATTTTTAAGTATGAATACCTTGAAGTCACTATAGGAAGAGGCAAATTAGTCCATAGAAGAAGTAGAAAGAAAAATATTAATTTTAGAGAGTACAGATCAAATGCTAGTTATGAACTTAAAACTTGACTGAAGTCCATAAAAGACCTTAATGGATGGGTGTACTATGATCCTGAATAGTGACTCAGTATTATTAAAATGGAGCACTCCCAACTTTGTCTGATTCAATCTCAGTGTAACATTCTGAAATAATACAGTCTTTGAAAAACAAACACTAATTGGGAGAGAAGTTGTGGGGAATGAGAAAGGAAAAGCCCCATAAAAAATCCAGTGTCTTGGCTGCCCCTTATTAAAACAGTGTAGTCTTGTAACCAGAGTTAGGTAGGTAGACCCGTGGAACAAAATTGAAAGTCCAAAAAAAAAGTAGGATCAGGTCTATTTATACATGTATTAATCATTAACAGTTTGGAGTTAAGATATTGCATTTCTACCTCATTTAAATTTTTTTTAATGTTTGTTTATTTTTGAGAGAGTGCACACAAGTTGAGAAGGGGCAGAGAGGGAGGGAGACCTAGAATCCGAGGCAAGTTCCAGGCTCTGAGTTGTTAGCACAGACCCCAGCTCAGGGCTCGAACCCATGTACCAGGAGATCATGACTTGAGCCAAAGCCGGATGCTCAACTGACTGAGCCACCCAAGGGTGCCCCTCACCTAGAAGACATTTAAACAACAATCCTAGAAAATACTGAACATACTTCCAGAAATGGAGCTGTTAAGCACATTGACTGCCCTGGCTTTCATCATCTCAAGAACAGAACTGTTTTTAGTCTTCTGCCACTGAGGAAATGGGCCTGGAAGAATTCAGTCACAGACCTGAAGTCTAGTTAATGCTAAGGCTAATAAAGCTCCTGCTTTTAATGAATGGTGTAGAGATGGGCTGATGGATTTGATCACATGAAACCAGATTAGGTGGCAAAAATCATGATAAATACTGAGTGGTGGTTCAGCTGGTTAAGTGTCCAACTCTTAATCTCAACTCCGGTCTTGATCTCAGGGTCCTGAGTTCAGGCCCCACACTGAGCTCTGAGCTGGGCTTGAAGCCTATTTACAAGCACGTTCTTTGTCTTAGCAATTCTACTTGCAGCGGCAGTGACTGAACCAGGATGTGGAGATATGTGTATAGGAAGATGCAAGTGTTTACATTAAGCAAAACCTCAGAGCCTTTTACTTATTGACCATGGAGTAGTTCCAGTGATGATACCTCCATAGAGTGACTATTAGACCATACAAACCGATTGTGTTACTTTTTCAGGGGGAAAGTCCATTGTATGTACATTACACGGAGTATATAGTATGTTACCATGCACACAGCATAGGTTTTATAAAGAAAAGCATAGAGGTGCACTAGTAAGAGGCCTGTGGCAACTGGTACAGATTAGGAGTGGTTTCCCTCTTCCAATTTTTCTGCATTGAATGCGGATTATACTTTTATACAGTGAAAATGATCTTCCTAAACCCATCAATTTCACCTTAAGGCTTTTGCCCTAAGATGTGTATGAGAATTTATTCATAAGGATGTTCAGAAATTGGAAATAATATAAAGCCTCACTTTTGGAAATTAAGGTGACTTAGGATTCCATACCATAAGCAAAACCAAATCACTTTCACACCCAATGAAAGAAAATTCTAAATGCTTTAACTGAAAATTTACCATGTAAAGATCTTACAGTTTTAAGATGAACAAGTTTTTTTTTTTTTATTTTTTTATTTTTTTTTTTATTTTGAGAGAAGGAGAATTCCAAGAAGGCTTGATTTCACAAACCAGAAGATAGTGACCTGAGCCCAAATCGAGAGTCAGATGCTTAACCGACTAAGCCCCACAGGTGCCCCAGGATTTTTTAAATGCTGTCACAAAGCATTGGCACCAGTTCTGAGTGTTCATCTTTTTTTCCAGTTTGGGGACTTTTTTTTAATATTAATTACTGAGAGAGAGTCCCAAGCAGGCTCTGCACTGTCAGCACAGAGCCCAACTCAGGGCTTGATTTCACCAACTGTGAGATTATAACTTGAGCCCAAAGTCAACAATGACATCTTAACCTACTGAGCCACCCAGGTGCCCCAGGATTTATTATAAATTAAGCAGTTGTACCAACGCAGGAATGCTCGTCTCTGGCTAGTTGAGGCCTAAGGCATCCAGAAGCTTGAGAACCTCAATTAGACTATCACATCCATTGAAGGAGGGGAGTCCCTGTATTTTCTGCTGATAAAGCTTTCTCAGCACAAAGTTATGATGACTGGCCAGGTCCTGTTTCACCTGCGTTTGTGTGCGATGCAGTTCTCTCCCCCTGTGCGTTTTTAATTGGGAGTGGGGGCCAGAGGGGGGTACCTGGGTGGCTCAGTAGGTTGAGTGTCCAAGTTGAGCATCCAACTTTGGCTCAGGCCATGATTTTGTGGTTCCTGAGTTCAAGCCCCACATCAGGCTCACTGTTATCAGTGAATAGCCTGCTTTGGATCCCCTGTCCCCACCGCCCCCCCAAACTTGCGCTCTCTCAAAAAGTAAATAAACCATTAACAAAGAAAAAAATGGGGAAGAGCATGACTTATCCTTTCCAGGCTGCTGCCCTTCTACCATGAATATAAAACATACACCCTTCTACTTCGAGGCTTGCCAACTGCCTGGATGAAAGGTAGTGTACAGCCAGTGGCGTCCATGTGCATAAGAGAGGGGAACCCAGTGTTCCCAAATACTCCAGTGTAAGAGGGATCTGCTAGTGGATAGCCAGTGCAAAGATTTGTTCTTAAGCTCTTGCATGAGCCAATCAATGTATCTGGAACAGATTCAGCCCTGTAGATGACCAGTTTTCAGTCTTTTACCTAAGTCAGCACCGCCCGACCCCCCCCCCCCCCCCCCCCCCCCCCCCCCCCCCCCCCCCCCCCGGCTTCTCACTTACCGTCTGATTTCTTGACTACTCGTTCAGAACCTTGACATGTGCAGTTCGTAGTCTTCCTGTCAGCTCTTCACCACATTTTCAGTCTTGGATGCTCTTGCTGCAAGGGAATTATTGGAATTTTATTTGGTGGTCTTATCCCATGTTCTTAGCAATTGCCCTAGGCATTCAGATCCTGTTAGCCATTTTCATTCCAGTCATTACTGTCCTTGTGCCTCTGGGGCAGCCAGCATTTAGAGGTAGAGTCAAGGTTATCTAGAAGGAACTCCAACAAGATTGCCCACTACCCTTCCTGCCCAGGCTACCAATAATGCAGTTTTATAAAGCTGTAAAACCACACTTTTCTTTGCATTCTCAGAGGAAGAGGTCAAATGAAGCTGGCATGCTGCCATTACGAGTGGCTCAGAGAGACCATTTTTATAGTCCTGTGCCTTCCCAAATCCTGTGTTAGAAGTCCCTCTGAGGCCTGCCTTTCCTCTGGAAGCTGTCTGGTTTCTGAGATCTGGTTCTCAGCATTCAGCCGCCTTGGTTGCTGTCCTTCACTGCTTTTTGCTCCTTAGCTGCTGTGTGGTTCCACATTTCTTTCCCAAGCCTCTCGAGGACCATGCTGACATTTTCAATCCCTAATGGATCTTTTCACCTGAACTCTTGTCCAAACCAAGCCGTTTCCTGAGGCATTGCCCTCCAAACCTGTGTGAAAAAGGTATGGGGGGGAGGGGAGGTTATAGGTTCTCATTTAGTGCTCCTGTAACAATTAAGGAATGCTTGATACTCCGGGGACCTCTGTTTCTTGATATGCAGCCAAGTTTGAGAACCTACAAGTCAATGTTTAATTGAAAGCAGAAAAAAACCCAGTATGGAACTTTGCCTTTGGGTTATAGGTCTTTGTTCTTGAACAATTCTGGGGCAAGTGATTTGTGGTTCCTCTTGCTAATACTGGGATTTAGTCTATGACCTTCTTGTATGGACTCTACTCCCATCATAAAGAATGGGAAAACTAGGAGCAAAAAAGACAAGTGCGAATTCTGGGGAATATTTAAGATTATAATCCTGAGTATATGTACAGCAGAATTTGTGACTGCTTCTTTATACTTGAAATAGCCAGGATAGCACTGGATTATCACTGGGTCACTGTATATATCTGAGGCTAGTAGCATTCTGCTTATTGGTAGCCTTTAAAGAGGGGAGTACCTGTTAATTTTCATTGAGACTGTAACCAATTTGGGTTTTGTGCTGCCACTGCATACATTCTGTTGTTTCTCATGTTAAATGAGGTGTATAATGGGGGAAAAGTCTGGGATTACTTCTGTCAAAGCTTAGTACTTAGTCTTGTTTTTATCCTCTTCCCCCCACACAGGACGTTGCTTCAGAATGTGAAGTCAAGTGCATGCCAACCTTCCAGTTTTTTAAAAAGGGACAGAAGGTAGGTACATCTGACCTTAAACCCAGCCAGGCAATAGGAAGACATGGTATAAATTAAGACACTGAAGGGACTTACTCTTTCACATTGGGAGACCAGTCCCCATTTTCTACTTTTAAGAATACTTAAATAGGTTATTCTTCAGTAATTTAAGTACACACTGGGACATCTATTTGAAAATTGATTTTTTGTTAGAAGATCCACCATGATTCATGCTTCATTTTTATAAAGTACATTTATCTTTGAGAGAGATTTGGGTAAGAAATTGTACATCAGTCTTTAGTCTTTTAAAGTAAGGTTGTACTTCTGCTTCCTCTGCACCCTCCCCCCTCCCCCCACCTTTCCCCATTCTCTGATAGCTTAGTCACAAAACAAGGTTATGATGCCTCTAACCACAATTCAATATTCTCTTAACAGGTGGGTGAATTTTCTGGAGCTAATAAGGAAAAACTTGAAGCTACCATCAATGAGTTAATCTAATTATGTTTTCTGAAAACACAGCCAGCCATTGGCTGTTGAAAACTTGTAAGTTTTTTTATTTACAAAAAGGAAAGATCAAGTATGAAGACTATATACCCAACTGCCATCTGATTATAAGTGACAATAAAATATTAATTCTACCCTTTTTAAAACTGGTGTCTTTGACTAGCTTTCAAATAGGTGAAATGTGGCTAGTAGATGACATTTAATGTTATATATTTTTGGTAACTTTTTAGTGACCCTATAGGCCACTGATTTTTTTTTTAAGGGACAGCAGAGGAGGCACCTGAAGTTTATGTATTTTTGGGAGAAAGTGAGCACAGGAGCAGAAAGAGAGGGAGACAGAATCCTAAGCAGGCTCTGCACTGTCAGCACAGAGCCTGATGTGGGGTTCAAACCCACAGACTGTGAGCTCATTACCTGAACCAAAATCAAGAGTTGAACACTTAACTGAGCCACCCAGGGGCCCCTGGGCCATTGATTAAGATTAAAAGCCTTGTTGGGGGGCACCTGGGTGGCTTAGTCGGTTAAGCGTCCGACTTTGGCTTAGGTCATGCTCTCGCGGTTTGTGGGTTCTAGACCCGCGTTGGGCTCTGTGCTGGCTGACGGCTCAGAGCCTGGAGCCTGTTTCGGAGTCTGACTCCCTCTCTCTCTGACCCTCCCCTGCTCACGCTGTCTCTCTCTCTCCCAGAAATAAATAAAACATTTAAAAAAAATGTAAAAGCCTTGTTGGCAATGCAGGATTAGAGTAGTATGTTAAAATTGGTTTTTGACTCCTATGAACATAGAAAATCATATTCTCTTTTCTATCAGGCAGATCCCCTCTACTGTCTAAATAATCCTCGTGACCAAAATTGAGGCCCATCCTTTTTTATTTATTTTTTTTTTTTTTAAATTTTTTTTTTAATGTTTTATTTATTTCTAGGAGAGAGAGAGAGAGACAGCATGAACAGGGGAGGGTCAGAGAGAGAGGGAGTCACAGACTGAAACAGGCTCCAGGCTCTGAGCTGGCAGTCAGCACAGAGCCCGACGCGGGGCTCGAACCCACGAACCGTGAGATCATGACCCAAGTGAAAGTCGGACGCTTAACCGACTAAGCCACCCAGGCGCCCCGAGGCCCATCCTTGAAGGAATTTTCTCTGGTTTTGAGATTCCTGTCTCAAAGGTTACAGTGAGCTGCTGTTTTGCTAGTGGTAATGGAGTCCTCTTCTGTCAGTTAGCAGAACTTCATGGTTGCCTCCTAAGGGAGTTCTGCAAACATTTCCATGGGAAGTTTGATTCCCTCAAAGTATCTTAAGAAACTGGTTTTATAGTCCAAATAGACCTACTTACCTAAGTGATAAAGGGTGTTGAAGTTACTAGTCTTTAATGAAATGAAAGAACATTAAGAGTTTCATAGATCAGTGCTACAGAACAGAGAGCCTAAAAATAAACCCACACGTATGTGGTCAGTCTGTGACAAAAGACGCAGTAGCATACAATGGAAAAAAGCTAGTCCTTAATAAATGGTACTGGGAGAATTAGACAACTGTATGCAAGAGATGAAACTGGATCACTTTCTTACACCATATACAAACATAAGTGGATTAAAGACCTAAATGTGAGAGACTCGAAAGTATCAAACTCCCTAGTACTTGACATCAGCCCTAGCAACATTTTTCTAATGCATCTCCAGAGGCAGGGAAAAATAAAAGCAAAAATGAACTTGGGACTACCCCATACCAAAAAGCTTTTGCATATTGAAGGAAACCATCAACAAAAGGCGATAAACTGAATGGGAGAAGATAACTGCAAACGACATCATAAGGGGTTCAGAATACAAAATACAAAGAACTGCAACTCAGCACCAAAGTAACAATCTGGTTTTAAAATGGACAGAGAATCTGAATAGACAGTCTTCCAAAGAAGGCATACGGATGGCCAACAGACACACAGGAAGATGCTCAACATCACTCATCATCAGGGAAGAACAGATCAAAACCACAGTGAGACATCGCCTCACATGTATCAGAATGGCTGGAATGAAAAAGATAGGAACAAGTGTCGGTGAGGATGTGGAGGAAAGGGGACTTCCACACCTGTCACTGTGAGTGGCAATGTAAGCTGGTGTAGCTACCGTGGAAGACTGGAGTTTCCTTAAAAAAATTAGCACAAAATCCAGTAATTCTTGTACTGGGTATATACCCACAAAAAAAACAAAACACTAAAAAGATACACGCACTTGTAGATTTACTGCACCATTATTTATAATAGCCAAGACAGGGATGCAATCCAAATACTCACTGTTAAATGGTTGGATAAAGATATAAATATATGGTGTGTGTGTATATATACACCTCTGTACATGCACACATATATACACACACACAATGGAATATTAGTCATAAAGAATGCGATCTTGCCATTTACAACAACATGAATGGATCTAGAGAGTATTATGCAAAATGGAGTAAGACAAAGACAATACCATATGATCTCACTTATATGTGGAATCTAAGAACCCAAAATGAATAAATAGAATCAGACCTATAAGTACAGAGAACTGCTGGTTGCCATAGAGGAGGGAGGTAGTGGATGGGCAAAATGGGTGAAGGGAAGTGAGAGACACAAGTTTCCAGTGATGGAATAAGTTACAAGGATAAAAGGCACGGCATAGGGAAGATAATCAGTGATATTGTATGGTGACAGTAGCTACACTTACTGGTGAGCATAGCATCATGTATAAATTTGTCAAATCACTATGTTGTACATTTGAAATTAGTGTAACATTGTGTGTCAACTATATTTCAGTTTAAAAAAATTTTTTTAATGGAAAAAAAGATGAAACCCAGAGTATAAAAAACAAGTGACTTGTGTTCTAGACACAGCAAATATCTAGAGGAGGAAGAAAGTTTTTAAATTTGTATAATGAAGGGGCACCTGGGTGGCTTAGTCGGTTAAGCGTCCGACGACTTTTCGCTTAGGTCATGATCTCGCGGTTGGTGGGTTTGAGCCCCACGTCGGGCTCTGTGCTGACTGCCAGCCCAAAGCCTGGAGCCTATTTCAGAGTCTGTGACTCCCTCTCTCTCTGACCCTCCCCTGCTCATGCTGTCTCTCTCTCTCCTAGAAATAAATAAAACATTAAAAAAAAAAAAAAAAAAGATGAGTGCACAGAGCACCTAAATATGTAAAGCATATTTTAGTAGCCCAAATGAGAGAAATAGAGAGCAATAAAATAGTAGGAGAATTCATTAACCCGCTTTACTTACATCAGTGGATAAATCATCCAGACTAAAAAACAAACAAAACAAAACAAAAACAAAAACAAAAAACAAAACATTCGCCTCAAAGAACACATTAGACCAGATGATGATGATGAAACACAACAGATTATATAGCACATTTCACTCGAAAGCAACAGAATAAATATTCTTTTCAAGTGCACATGGAACCCAGGATCAATCATGTTAGGCTGCAAATTAAGTGTTAAATTTAAGAAGACTGAAATCATATCAAGCATCCTCTTCCAACTATAGTGATATGAAACTAGAAATCAATTACAGGAGAAAGAAAATTCACAAATATGTGGAGATTAGACAGCATGCTACTGAACCAACGGGTCAATGAAGTCAGAAGAGAAATACATTGGGCCAAACGAAAATGGACTACAAAACAAAACGTATGGGACCCAGCAAAAGCAGTTCTAAGACGAAAGTTCATAGTGCTAAAATGCTTACACCTCAAGAAACAAATCTCAAGTTAACTTTACACCTCAAGGAACCGGAAAAAGGACAGATGAAGCCAAATACCTCAGAGTGAATGTATGACCTGTATTCTGACAACAATAATAAAACAATTATGAAAGAAATTGAAGAACGTACAGGTAGAAAACTATTCTACGCTCATAGATTGGAAGCATTAATATTGTTAAAATGTCCGTACTACCCAAAAGCAATCTAGATCCAATGCAATCTCCATCCAAACAGCAGTAGCATTTTTCAAAGAACCAGAACAAATTAATACTAAAATTTGTATGGCAACACAAAAGACTCTGAATAGGTAAAGCAATCTTCAGTACAAAAAAGCCAATGGTATCACAATCACAAATTTCAACACATACTACAAACCTATAATAAAAGAGTATGGAACTAGCACAAAAATAGACTCTTAGGCTAGTGGAACAGAATAGAGAGCCCAGAAATAAACCCACACTTACATGGTCAGTTAATCTGTGACAAAGAGGGCACAAATATGCAATGAGGAAGAGACAGTGTCTTCAATAACTAGTGCTGGGAAAACTGGACAGCAGCACGCAAAAGAACAAAACTGAATCTCTTTTTGCACTATACAAAAAACAAACAGACAATAGATTAAAGACCTAAATGTGAGACCTGAAAGCATAAAACCAGAACACAAGCAGTAATTTTTTTGACGTTGGCCATAGCAACACAACATTTTTTCTAGATAGGTCTCCTCAAGCAAAAGAAACAAAAGCAAAAATAAGCTATTAGGATTACACCAAACTATTGGGATTACACAGCAAAGGTAACCAACAAAATGGAACGGAAAGGCAATCTACTGAATGGGAGAAGGTATTTGCATATGATGGCTCTGATAAGGGGATAATATCTAAAATACAAAGAATTTATACAACACCAAAAAATCTGATTAAAAAATGGGCAGAGTGGGACGCCTGTGTGGCTCAGTCGGTTAAGTGTCCGACTCTGGCTCAGGTCATGATCTCACGGTCCATGGGTTTGAGCCATGCATCGGGCTCTGTGCTGACAGCTTGGAGCCTGGAGCCTGCTTCAGATTCTGTGTCTCCCCCCCACCCCTGCCCCTCCCCTGCCAGTGCTCTGTCTCTCTCTCCCAAAAATAAACATTTAAAAGAAAATTTTTTTAAATGGGCAGAGAATCTGAATAGACATCTTTCCAAAGACAACATACAGATGCCAACAATACCTGAAAAGATGCTCATCATCACTCATCACCAGGAAAGTGCAAACCAAAGCCACAATGAGAGATCAGCTCACATCTGTCCGAGTGAACAGAATCAAAAAGACAAGAAATAACAAATGATGGCAAGGAGATGGAGAAAAAGGAAAACTTATACACTGTTGGGAATGTAAATTGGTATAGCCACTATGGAAAACAGTATGGAAGTTCCTCAAAA